TATGAATGGAAATACAACTGATATGAAACAGCAACAATGCTGAGGTGTCTTACATTCCGCCACACACACTGTGACCACGTGTGGTTAATTGAAACATGTTTGAGTGTGAGGAAGGAGAGGAGGAGGAGAATAAGTAAAGAGACAGCAAACACAGGTGTGGCGTTTTATCTGTTGGGGAGGTGAGGGGTAATCACTGGAAATTTTAATCAGTTCAGATCAATTATTCATGGTCAGGGGCATAGCGAGCTGATTTCCAAAATGCCCCTTCTCTCTCTCACTGACAGCCCTGTATGAATTATTCAAACTGCATTTACACAAAGAACTCCATCTCTGATACCTGATCAGTCAGTTAGAAACATTATGCAACCGGGAATGTCAATTAGAAATGGGAAAATTGGTCTCCTGGTATGTATGAAATACAAAAGAAAACAAATCCACATAACACACACTATGAAAATTATTAAACAAAACCCAAACTTCAAGGTCTTGGGAGATTATTCTTCACAGAGAGAGAGGAGTTCTCAGCTTTAATGGGTTTAACCAAAGTCAATATGGTCCCTGTGCAGTGTGTCCACTACTCATCCATCAGTTTATATTCACTAAGTGAACTCCACCTATAATGTGGACTGCATCAGACCAGGTACTCAACCCTGCTCCATCATCAAGTGTTAATCATTTCCCGAGCAACTTTCTCCTCCCACTCCCTCCAAAACAGTTCTTAAGCCAATTCAGACCGATGCTGCTGCTTCATTTTCATCCTAACCAAATCACCTATGCCCTCTTCTTCTTACAATTTATTCAGTGACTGCCGCAGGCCGTTTGTAGATAGATACAAATCCTGTTGCTGGTCTAAAGCCCACACTGTACCTCAAGGCCAGGGCTATCTGATCACTGCCAGCCATTTAGCTCGCCTTTCCCTCTTCATTTTTCCACATGGTCACCAGTCTCCCCTTCTGGGTCCCAGAAGATGGAATGACCTTCCCTCTCTGGTCTAAAAAGCAGAGCCACGCCCCATCGTCCATCATTTACTGAAATCCTGTTTTCAAGCATCCCCTCTGAATCACTTTGTTGTGCTTTTATCTCACTTCTAAGGTCTCATTTTCTTTTCGTCTTTCCCTAACAGACTCTCAAAGTATCTTGTCTCTTCAAGTAAGACAGTAATGTCAGGGCAGAGTGGTCCTGATTGCTGCTTTCATTGTTCATTGATGTCAGTAAAGGAATTTTGCTCTGAATAACCCAAAGCTTAAAAGCGAAAGAAAACGAAACTGCAGTCAGTAAAGCAGCTCGATTAAGTTAAGTGAGTTAAAAAGCACAGACAGATCACAGTGAAAGTGCTGAACCTACTGATGTTAATCATAGATCATGTTTACCAGTTCACCGTCTTACTTTAGCTTGTTAGCATGCATGAAATATGCTATTTTGTACTAAACACAAAGTACATCTGAGTCTGGTAGGAATGTCGTTGTTTTGCAAGTTTTTTGTCATAAACCTTCAGGGTTATTATTAATCGTAAACTAGCACAATTCCTCCTTAGGTGGACGTGAATATCGAAACAAAAATGCATCGTAAACCACCCAATAGTTTTCAAAAAGTGTCAAATTCATGGTAGGCCAGGGTCACCATGCATCTTCTCACAACCAATAGATTTCAGGATATTGCTGCCTCAAAAGTCAGTCTGGGAGCTTACAAGGACAGAGCAGCAAGAGGGATGAGTGTACGGGAGAGAAGGTGTGGTCAGGCAGAGAAAGGCAGATAAATAGACAGCAGGAGAAATGAGAAAGTGTAATTCTTGCTCGGCACAATTTATCATTCTGTGCCTGACAGCCACCAACCATAAGTCACCAAATAATCACTCTAAATAATTCAGAGGGATCTCTTGTGTCCTCCTTTCCCCTCTGCCTGCCCTTGTAATGCAGTTCCACGACACAGGGTCAAAACGTATGCCCATTGACACTCATCATAAATGCAGTTTGACCAGACTAGGTTTGCCTCGACTGACATTATTGCTACAGTTCAAGACAACAGGTTAGGCAGGGGTCTCAAACTCAAGGCCAGGGGGCCAAATCCGGCCCGCGACTTCATTTTATGTGGCCCCGCAAGAGCTTGCAAAGAATATAACACGTTTATTATACGGTTACATGCCACTTTACAGAAGCAGGTTGCCCATAAACTACATGTCCCACAATGCATCTCGTTTTGTGACATGCTCACTGAAGAGACTTGCAATTATTTGCCCTGGACTTCTGCTTTTAGACGTAGTTAATTACTAAGTTATTATCCTATCCGAAAATAATCCAATTCAGAGGCAATAATGTAATATAATACATTATTTTATATATATATTATATATTTATATAGTTACAACCCCCCCTTTGAGTGCAACCTTTATGCGAATGTGGCCCGCGATGAAATTGAGTTTGACACCCCTGGGTTAGAGGGAGGGCTGGAAAGAAGAGCAGCATTTCTTAGCAATCCTGCATGTCGTCAGCTAGATTTAGATACTATTGCAATTGATATCTCCATGGGAACATCTCATTGCAATCACTAATACATTTCCCTGCTCTTTCCTCACATTACAATAATACCCTCCTGTACTGTGTTTCTGTATCTTGGAGTTCTACCTATTTTATAGACAAATAAGATGGCAGATCAATGTCAATTTGGCAGTGGATATGAATTCTGCAGGATATAAAGACATAGCAGATAGGAAGGTAAATGTTCTATGGGTAACATTAGCAAAAACAAGTTATTGATATCATAATTGCTATAGCCAAACATACATGGTCGCTTTTTATGATAATTGAAAGGAAGAACTGAAAGACTTGATCATAACTGAAAGAGATTATGAGGCAGATAAATGTATCATTTTTCTAACAGTATGTGTCTTGGTAGGGATAGCTGGCCAGTCATTCATCCTCGTCATGTTGCTGTCAAAGCCCCGCTGCATACGAGTGATGACCACCCTTGTCAGACCAACCGCTGTCTGTCTCCCTCTGAATGATAGACATGTAGAGTAGGCTATGTCTGTACTGAAGGACGGATCAATTTGTTTCACTCTAGAGTCTATCCTCTATGTCTCTGTGCTTTTCCCTTGTCATACATTGAAAATCAATGTAATGTCTTCTCTCCTGAAATAAAAGATTTTGACGTTTCTTTTTCTATTACTCTCTGACTTTTAATCCACGCGTCTCGTACATCGGTAAGGTTTTCGCTCTGACATCTGTCCCTGCTGTGTGTCACTTCTCGACCTTTTCTCTGCGTGTGTGTCCATCATTTCTTTTGTCTGTGACTGCTGGCTTGGGTGATCATGTGTGCGGTGTGTGTTTATTTCAAAGCGTGGCACAGGAGGGGATCGCCACCAACTTGGGGATGCTCTGGAAATGTCATTGTTTGCTCTGCTTTCTGACGCAATTTATACAGCAGCGATTATTTTTCCTCCCAAGCGTGGCCTTCTACTTTGTCTGCCTGGAATCAGGAACGGTAAATAAGTGGTAATGGGAGTGAATGGGAGGGGAAGTCAGCCAACGTCTTTCTGTCATCACTTTAGAAGGTTGCGACCCTAAAGCACGGTGGCACAGAGCTGCTAAATTATTCAGGCTGTGTCTCAAGCCCCGATCTCTGGAGAAGACGGGCCTGTGATTGCTTGGAGCGGATTGACTGACATTTGCACATGAAAATCGCCTCTGTTTTCCCCAAACACCCGTTCTGCTCAAAGGAAACATTAGAGCGACCCTGGTTCTGTGCAATGGGGGCTTGCGTTGTGGTTGGTAGCTCTGGGTTCTGGGAGTGTTAGTGGTAGAGGAAGCATTGCTTTTTAAATGTGCGGCTCAGCAGTGAACAATCACAAACAAACTAGGGGAAAAGTTCTGCCATGGGAGAATGACAGGTTATGGTAAATAGTTTTTCATAAAAGTGTCAATATAATTGAGCATAAACGTGGCTTAAATTTAAGTGGCAGAGCAGGAGCTAGGGGACTAGCTCACTCATAAATCATCTTTCTGAGTGGGGTCAAGGGCCATTTGACTGAGACATGGGCAGAAATCTGATTTTGTTAATGGGAATATTTTTTCACAAATAATGCAATAGTACATTGTGCATATCCCAGCATACTTATTGATTAAATGGCAGCATTCTGTGTACATACAAAAATCCAGTTTGCTAGAATTAATGAAAGAAATAAGAATCAATGTGTTTCCAAAAGGCCATGCCATGCTATCTGAGTGTGTGGTCGAATATCTCTATAATGATGCATCACACTTTACTGGGTTTACTCATGCTGCAAGGCCAGAACAAAAAAACAAAGCATTTTTGTAATTGCAAATTGAGGTTTGTTTCATTATTATTTATCCTCATATATCTTCAGTAGATTGTAACCGAAACAGTCTATACAATCCAAGTTGCTAATTGTTATTTGGCTAATTTAAGCTTGAGAGGTTTTGATTAATCAGACTGCTTCCAGAGTGCAGTTTAAAGTGAGCGAGCAAGAAGCTGTGTGTGTTTGAGGGAGGAGAGTGAGAACATCCCTCTGTATGCTGGACCATGTCTCTGAGCTGAAGGCGAGCGTAGCTGGGGTGAGGGGTGGAAGGGAGGCAGGGGTGGAGAAGTGCAGGGGATAACTGGCCCTGCTGGGAGGGAGGAGGGGGAGGAGAACACGGCTAAAGAGAGGGAGGGCGGGAGAAAGGGAGACGGAGAGGGTGGAGCATCGGACAGATGACAAATTGTGATTAATAAATGTGGTTCAGGACAGCAGTGTGGAGGGTTGTTATTAATAGAGAGAATTAGAGTGGCTGTGCAACTCAATCTGCACACTGTCAGTCTGCATCAGGCCCCATAATCAGAGCCTAATGAAACAGCACAGCACCAGGATGTAGACACATCCACACCGTGTACTCTGCGTACAAATCTACTGTACAGTAAACACGCAGGCTCAGGGAAGTCAGGGAGAACATAATACATTTCATATCAGGGTGCAAGAACAATGTAACAATAAACATATGGACTACTGGGCCTGAATAAAAAAAATTTGTATTTAGATTATCATGCCTGAAATGTGACATATTGAAGACCTCCATTAAGTTCCATTTTACTCCATTATTATCCCATGAGAAGCCTTTTTTATTTTGGGTCAAGCCAAATACAAACCAACACATCTATCTTCTCGTGTTTCTGTTCATGTTCAGACATCTCTCCAAATGCAGCAATGTGTATTTTCTTTACCTCTACTTGTGGATTCCCTGGTTTTTAAAATTGCCCCAAATCACCTTCGTATATCTCTAATGACCTCTAAATTGATTTACAAGATAGTTATCTCTTACGGCAAAGAATGAGAGCTTGATAGCCGGATTCCTGTCAGTGTTAACTGTGGAAGACGTGAGTAGTGGTCTCCTGGGAGTGACGGCCCTCCGGCAGCTACGTGCCTCTTGGGGACGATATGTCATCATCCCTCAGAGCTGATGCTCAGTATTGGTCACACTTCCTGCGCTGGTGTGGATTGTGTGACAGTGCCACTATCTCAAAACAAAACACAATATGTCACCTATACCTTATGTATCACTGACTTCAATTTTCCACACAATACTACTCTGCTTGCAAGAAATATTTGGATTGTTCTGTGCCATGCATTTCATAAATGATAAAACATATAGTGTTACTTAAATGCTTCTGGTAATATTCTGATTGAAGAATTAGTATGTCGTTAAGAAAACATGTAGACAACCAGCCACAGTAGAAAGGAATTACAACATGAGTAATGTGTCCATAAATAAGTTCTTCCTCCTCTCTTACTTGTTTACACAGAACGGAAGAGAGAAAAGATAGGACTCGAATTATGCAGACGTATGCACAAAAGACAGAGATTTATTCTTGGTGTATCATAATATATGAAATTAATTATTAAACAAAGTAATTATTCAAACAGCCCAGTACTGATTCACCGGTGGCCCTTTTTCTTTCGGTGACAGTGGAGAGAGTGTGAGTCAAAGGGAAGTCAGAGCAAGTGACACGATAAAGCAATTGGACTGAATAAAAAAAAGACACATCTCATCAACATAATGCATGATGTTAAAAGTTTAGGTGAGTATGAATACTAAGGGGAACAAATCAAGAAGAGAATAGGGAGAGAGGAGACAGACAGCTGAAAGACATGCGCATATTTCAATATTAATCACCTCAGTAATATTTTAACAGGCTTTAAAAATCCAATCCTGAGCATATTGCCTCTGACTGGCAACGATTATCTGCCCGTGCTGCTCAGGGCCTCTGAGTACTGTTCTAGCGGGCCAGACTGACTGACCCTGCAAACTGGGACTGACACAGCATTTAACTCCCCCCAGCGCTGCTCTGCTGTACCAACATTTACCAATGGAAATATCCCAGGCCATTACTACCCCACCTTCCATGCCCTCACCTCAGTGATAATCCTTTTCATGTCCAGTGTGATCAGGTCAATGATCCCTACATGGCCAGAATGTGGTCATCATATGCGAGGAAAGAGAAATTGAGGAGGTGGTGGTTAATAAAAAGACTGTCATCAATACTGTATGTAGACCTATTCCACTTTACCCCCAATGCTTCGGTCATCAAACTTTAAACTTGCAGATCTGCAACTGTGCCTGTCAGACAGGTGACACAAAACTCTCGGAAAATTATGATTTTAGCTTAAAATCTTAGAAAAATAGCCTATTTCAGTGGCCATGTCATCGCATTATTTCCCTACTGACATTGCAACAGCGAGATAATTGATACAAGAATACAGAACATGGCTTTCCATTACTAATAGTGCAAAAACGTTGTTCAACATACTCTAAACTTGCATACTGTATGTCTGTTTGCTACATGCATTTGTGTGTGTGTCTCAGAGTGCGGACATTGCAGGTGTTTGTGTGTAAGGTTTTAAGTAAAGGAAAAAGAGCAGCACAATGTGTGGAGCAGGGTGTCTCACTAATGAGGTTTATAGCTGTGGGATGCAAGTCACACACACAGACAATGGTCTGGGGAACATTTAGTGTCTCCTCTCCATTCCTCACACATCATGCTGAGGCATCTTTTACTTAGTCACCGTCCTCTCTCTTGCCTTCCCTGGCGCACCGAAGATGAAAACATCTGCCCTTGTTTGCAACACTTTATCAAACATTTGATCATGCTCAGAGTTTGCCACTAACAACAGGTGAATGTCAGGTTAACAAGACATTGATGCGTTTAAATAAAAATACATGTTTCTTGGGGCTCCAAATTAATGGTAATAATAATGATTTGGAAATGAAAAAATAAGGAGTTTTACTTTTCACTATAGGTTGCCAATACATTTAATTATCAATACTTGCCTAGGACTACAGTATTTCATTAGACACAAAAGAGAAAAAAATGCTCGTATGGTGGGGGGAGAAAGGGAACGAGAGAGAGGGAGAGAGAAAGAGAGAGATAGAGAGAGAGAGATCTAACAGGTGTCGAGGAGCACTGCCCATGGACAAACACGGCGATAAGCGATACAGTCACAGCCACTCTGGATGGGAGCGAACCTAATTTGGAATATCGTCAAAAAGTGTTCACTCCAGTTTTTTTTCTGGACTTCTTTTCCTATAAAGTAAGCGCCAATTAAACTCCATCTTTTCGTTCCTACCTGGAAAGAAAGAAGGGAATTAAGCTCTGATTAAGAGGCACTCATCACTTTCTTGGCATCTCCTGCGCGCTCCACTCGACACTCCAGCGGTGCAAAGTCCTTCAGTTATTTTGGTGGGACGCGGAATTAACAGACGCAAAGCGAGTGTTATACTCTAATATTTTTGGATCATAATGAGTAAATGGTGAGTTATCTTTGCAATTTTTGTTCACGTTGTGGATAATCAAGTATTAATTGTAATTTACACAAAAATAAAACTGAAAATACATATTATTTAAAATAATTTTTATTATTTAAAACATATCGTTGTGATGTTCATCTTAATATTTACTTAGTTAAATTATGTGTATAAAATATAGTATAAATATATTTGCTCTATGCTGCTCTTTCCAGATGCAGATGTAGCCAGAGGAGGAATCTATCAAACGTGTTATTGGCTTCAGGAAAACGGCACCTTTTTAATGTGGACAGTGGAAACAAGAAGGAAGTGGGAGGTCATAAGATGATTGTGTCAGGAAAAGATCTCTGATGAACTTTTGACACTCACAGTCATGGCATTAAATGAGACGTCCACGTGAAATGAAAGAAGATTTATTTAGAAAATAACTGTAAATCTTACTTCATCCGGCCAAACCAACAATATCCACTCCCTCCTCAATGAGCTGAATTTGGCAGCAGGCCTTTTTCCGCATACTTTCAATAAGCCCCGCTTCCAGTGCCAGTCATGTTGTCTGTATGATGCTGAAAACAAACTGAACTGAAGGACAACAAGGGAAGTCAAGAAAAGGTGACCCGAGATTCCATCAGATCAATTATGTTTTTGGTAATGTGTCACCCTAAATCAAAGACATCCATGTTCTTTTATTTCCTTTAACACTGGTGTGTAAAGTTTTCATCTTTTTAAGAAGAGGCTTTTGAAGACCGTGTTCCTGGTCCATTGGACGTCTTTATCATTTCTAAAGGATCCTCTCATCCGCTAGTTTCCCTACTGGCTGTCTTCCATTTTGTGTCCTTTCTCAAACACTGTTTTCCTCCCACTCCTCTCCAAATCCCTCTTCATCTTTTTCTACCATATTGGCTTTCTGAGAGGCTTCATCCTGGCCGGCCACATTCCAGCCAAGGGGGAAGAGGACTTCCTGACGCTGGCCGCTTCACGGCTCAGCCGCAGGAAGCGCGTCATTGGAGCTGCTGTAGGTGTAGCCATGGTTCTAATACTGTTGGTGGCCATTCCCCTGCTGGTCCACACTACCAAAGGAGGGAACTCCGGAAATACGGGGAGCCATTATGAAATGCTTGGGAGCTGCAGGATGGTATGTGACCCCTATGCCACATCTCAGCCTGGCCAGGAGCTGACAGCCGTGTCTCCACCACCCAAGGATTACTCTGGGAAGAAGCTGAAGTCTGGGCTCCGTGGGCCTCCAGGGATCCCTGGCCCTCAAGGACCACGTGGACCTCCTGGAGAGCCAGGCAAACCAGGACCACAGGGGCCCCAAGGTCCAGGTCCTGGTGGCTATTCTCCCTCACTCTACACTCCCAAAATTGCCTTTTACGCAGGGCTACGCAAGCCGCATGAGGGGAGTGAAATACTGAAGTTTGATGACGTGGTGACCAATGTAGGTAACTACTATGAGCCCAGCACCGGAAAATTCACCTGTCCTCTGCCTGGCATCTACTTCTTCACCTACCATGTTCTAATGAGAGGTGGTGACGGGACCAGCATGTGGGCAGACCTAAAGAAGAACGGACTGGTTAGTAAATGTTTGTGTGTGTGTGTGTGTGTGTGTGTGTGTGTGTGTGTGTGTGTGTGTGTGTGTGTGTGTGTGTGTGTGTCAAACTGATTTTCATTGTGGGTCACACCGGGAAATGAGAATCACAAGGGTCAACATTTACTCAAGCAAAACAATATATTCTGATCACATTTTTACAAAAGGCAAGCATTCAATGTGTTTAATGGGCCTGCATATGACAAGTTTGTTGTTGGGGAGATTGTATTGAAAGTTTGAACCTCAATTGATATTAGGACTGGCTAAAATGAGCCAGGGCCCATATTTTCCCCGTGGGCTTACGTTCCACATGTGTATTAGGGTGTGTGTATACAATAGAGGGTTTGCATGTATGCGTTAGAATGTATGCACACACACGATCGTGCAACCTATTTTTTTTCACTGTTGACATTCCTGCATTACCATTGACTCACATTCACCTCAGCCACATTGAGCTCTTCAGATTCAGAGCACATTCCACTTAGCAGGTGGATACATGACAGCCAAAGAAAGAAATAACAATCCTTCTTCTAATTAAGGGGAATTCATGCTATACAGTCTAAAATCACAGCAACGGATATTTGCATTTTCACATGTGCTGTGGCTAAATGACAAGTGGCAGAATGCATCCGCCGCTGCTGCCAAAAGCAACGGCCTAATTAGTAAGTATCATACACAGAGCTTGATTATCGCCTAAACAGAAGAGCAAGGGAGCACATGAGAAATGTCTGTCAGTACGTGGACCAGTCAGTTTACACCTCAGCTAAATAAATAATGAATGCAAAATTGACAGTCCACTCATCCACTTCCTCATTCCCCAGACACTAATTAAAGACAGAGGGGCTGATGGGGGGAAGAGGAGAGGCGAGGTGGGATAAATCACAGGGATTTTGTCAGAGGACTCCAAATTCACGAAACATTCTTCAAGTTGCTTTTTACATTCAATCATTCATCAAGGACTTCAAATGCAAATAGTTTCTGCTCGGACCTCGATATAGACATGTAGTGCACCAAGGACTGTGCACACAGGATAGTGAGCTCATATATACTTTATAGTTGACTTCCACAGTTGTAAATAAGGTTGATTTAGACTTGATTGTGTGAGATGTGAAACTATATGGTAAAAAATAATTCCATCTTGATTATTGTTAGATTGTATATGCCACAAAGATGTATTTAAGACCGCCTATTGCCTATATTGTCATTCAAGCCATCTTACCCTGCTAAATAATGTATAAATATTACATTAGATCCCATCAACATCCACTATACTTTCCTCCTACTTGGTTGTTCATTGATTCCCCATTAATTATCTTTTCCCTCAATCATTTAACCTCACCCAGGTCCATCTGGCTTCTGATAGGCGGCTTCCTTAAACAGTTCTTCTAAATAGAGCACTCACACGGATACACCCAAACAGAGATCTGGGTATATGAAGATGTGTATAGTCTATATGAAATGCTGCAGTATGCCTGATCATGTTCCGGGTTATTGAAGCCCGGTGGGTACTCTGCCTGTCAGTCAGTGGCTGGGGTTTACTAAACAGGCACTATTTCTGTTTGGTTTCATTCCTGAATTCAGAATCAAACAGTCAGTTTTATCATCGCCGTAGGTGCTAAAGCTTTATTGGATATTTTGTCTCTGCCCACTGGGTTTGTTTTAATCCCAATAAAGAAGGATTGTAGTAGACACAAACTTCCCGGATTCTTTTTAGGTGTTGTAACTTTTACATCTTATAAGAAAAGGTAATTTGTAACCTAGGTCTATTAAGCAGCCAGTCCTAAAGATTTACGAAAATGAATGAAACACAAGAGACTCGACGTGACATACACATACTGAGAGGTCTACTTGGGATGAGTGTAAGGGGGGGAGCAAAAAAGACAAGTGAGTTGATGGGAAATCAGGGGTGGAGCAGAGGAAGATAGATGACTTAATGGAGGTGTGGAGGCAGTGGGATGGTAGACGAGGCATCGGGGAGGCTGGTGGTGAAGGCCAGAATGAGATCAGGCTCGATGACCAATGGAAACCCACTCAACACGTCTTGGTTTGACGTGATCAAGGACGGCTGGAGAAAGTGAGAAATTGGTTTACAAACTGTATTTATGCAGGATAGGGAGTGTTAAAAAACGTAATTAATACTAGACATCAAAGATTTCCTCTGGGAATTGTTGATGTCTAAATGTTTGCACACTGCATTGGCTGCCGGACTCTTCCCTGTGACATGAGTTTGGTGTAATGCGATGGCAGGATGTGAGGAGGATGTACCGACTGTGGCAGGGCTTCCATGGGATTCTTTTGGATCTAATACCTATTACACTCACTAAATCCGTACTCTGAAAAGCCTACCTGCTCACACCTCAATCTAACTTTCACAAATCATTGCAGCACGACAGGGTTTCAGAGTCAGGGGATTTGTTATTGAAAGGGATCACACTGCAGTTGCTTCCATGTTCCTATTGCAACGGTAATTGAATTACGGTACAATTTCAATGTTTGGTGTGGATGTTTGGCTAATACTGTCACGCCCCATTCACCCCCAGTTGAACGTTAAGTGCACAGTAAGGAAACATACGGCATTGATACATGTGACAACCTAGTTCTGAAAGATTATGTATTGATATTCTTATTAATGATTGTATATTAATTAAGCCTTGCTCATATAGATATGAATGAATCTCTCATTGGCGATTCTGCTATCTTAAATGTGCTTAATCATTCGATTTCCTGTCAAAAGATTTATGAGTTGCTCCTCAATATTCTTGCTTGGTGGCAAATATTATTAAGACAGTCTATGCTAATGTTGTCATGCTTTATAAGGCTGGTAATACATCATGCAAACCTTCTCCCTCTTCCCTCCTTAAACGGTATGCGAGCTTTTCCCCTTCTCATTTATTTTCCATAGTTAACTACTGTATATATATTTAAAATATTCTTCATACAATGTGCACAGTAGACACATAGATACTGGTCTGGATACCTTTTAATCACTCCCTTGTTTTTTAACTGTCATAGACTCTTTTAATAACTCGGGTAAAGGTCAAGTTATTTCACACGGTAGTGTTAAAATGTCATCTCTTGCTGTAATGACCTGTACTAACTTCCCCAGTGCACGCACACACGCACGCGCACGCACACACACACGCACACACACACACACATATATATGCTACAGGTGAAACATAATTAGCTTCACAGCAAGAGGCAAAAAGAGTGTTAGCAAGATTTGTTCTTTGAAGGCAAGTCAGATGTTTTAAATTTAAAAATTAAAATTAAAATGTGCCTCTGATAAAAAAACACCTAATTAAAAAAAGGCAATCCCTTTCTTACTGTGCACAGGTCTGACCATTATAAGGCACATTGTAATACTGAAGTGAAGGTAATAGGAATCAAAGGTACGGTTCAATGCTACAGCCGCTTGTCGCCATGTAATCCCCAGGCTCCCAAAGGACAGGGAAAACCTATTCAATAAATATTCTATTTCCACAACATCGTCCCCCACCATGCGTCCCCAACCCTCCTGCCATGTGCTGGAGTCCCTTAGGTAAGTTTAACAGCTACTTTTCTATTGTCTCCGCTCTAAGAGGTCAGTATATCACAGTGAATGAATCCTGTCAGTTTTATTACCAGTGGAGCACAGACCCACAGATAAAAACAAGACTTCATATACCCCCACATCTCACCGCTCTCACAAAATAGCCTCGCTTGATCAGTCTGTTACTTTAGGCCCACTCCCTCTCCTTTCCTCAACCCTGCGGCCCTTGTTTTTGTTTTTTCTTTCTCCTTTCCCTCCTTTTTGTCCATCCTTGTCTATCTTCAGCGCTGCGGCTTCACTTGCATAGAAAATGACAC